TTCTGGAGGTCATAAAAGGTGGACACTAGAGGTATAACTGGCAGTTAAAGAGAAAATGGCTGCATTCAAGAGGTGAATTAAAAGTAGAGTTTTCAACTCGAAACCCTAACTAAAATACGCGCAAAGCGATAGCTGAAGCAGTGGCTAAGGCGATACCTGATTTGTCGAGAAAGTTCAGTGAGGTGTTGGAGTCTAATTTCCAAACGGCAGGGAAAATATTCTGGCGGATCGCCCGTCTCATCTAGATAGAAAAGAAGGGCAATCTACGAGTCTTGATAAAAAGTCTCAAAAACCTCTTACTAAGTAAGAGGATATACTCTGGCGGTGACGAGAGTAGTTTGAGGAACTTCTTAGCCCTGTGCAACTGCGGAGAGATGCGGATGAAGTGCCTCAGGGGATGAATATTGATATTTCGATCGTTAGAGTTGCCTCATCTCTGAGTGGGTTGCTTCGTAGCATGAACTTTCCAGCACCTTTGCATGGATTTTTACTGACAGACGAAATAAGGTAATGCCCTGAAAACTGGACCACTCTTTATGATCTTTCTGACTGATCAAGTGTTAGTCAGCTCTGCATCTGAATAACCTACATACAATTTGGCTTCCCATCGCAGTGGATTCCTTGATGCTATGCGAATAATGACAGAAAGCGGTTTGCCACTCATTTGCCCTTGCTGCTCTTTCAATGATTCAGCTCCATTTCGCAGGAAATCAAAACAGCTTTCAGTTGTCTTAGGAATTCCGTGAATTCCGTCATGGTGCGTCTTGAAATTCATAGAAATCTGTAAAATTCCGTCACTTTAACCCTAATCAAAAAAACGTCTGACACACCGCCTGGTGATTTACTTGAATTCACGTCCAACGTCGATTACTAGCCCGAAACACCGTGATATTTTTCGCAATGTTAAATATGCTTCTTATTCATTCTGATTGGCATAAGGTCTGAATTGTGTCTGCTACAATGGTTTAAATGCAAGCATATCGTAAAAAGAATCTGGACAATAACCGGCTGCACACTGAAGCCGGATGGTGTATCTATGACCAAGGGCAAAGATAAACACACCTGCCACGGTGGAATTCTCGAATTGAATCCGGTCACTGAATCAGACCATGTGAAGCGGCGAATCACAACACTGCGACTCTTGCATTGTAAAGCAGTTCTGCATTCTGACTTTGTCCTTCAGCATACAGTATATGTAAGCGGGAAGATTAAGCTGGTAAAAGAGCCATGAAGACCTGTGCCTAGCCTTGAAATCGTTAGCTAATAATTCATTAATGTCTGACAACTGGCGCCCCAAGTACCTGAACCTCTGCATAGCATTGATTATTCTTACTGTAGAAGCAACATACAGGTGTGGGGACATCATCGGTGCGGAAGATACAGTACCCAGTACTTCACTCTGTCACTCCTCTATGAACAAGATCTCATTAGTTGTAAGTGAAGCGCGTTTTGTACACCTAAGGAAAGGAAGCAACAGTCGGAAATGCAGAGGCAAAATGAATTTCAGTCTTCAACTTATTATCACTCACCTTAATCAGTTTCGCACGTTAGAGTCACTCATTTTCATAATGTATATTTTAGTGAGCTTGCTGAAGCAACGCCTGAATAATATATCAGTAAAGCTTCATACAGTTTGCAGAAACGAGCCAGTGTTTCCATCGAAAGCTCGATCTGTAATGCATAATACGTCGCCTATGAATTGCGCACAAGATGATGACGGCGTCCGCTTCTCAGACCAAGGTTCATTGCAGGGAAAAGATCGTGCGTTTGACGAAACGTGTTCAAAAAGGTGCATCGACAAAGTTGCAGTGACGCCGAATAAAGAAGAACATTCCAATACACACCATATAACTGGTAGTCTTGATATTCCTGTCAAAATGCATATGACAGGATCAGTCGCGAACAGTCCCGATGAAAAGCATGAAGAAAAGCCACGATCGTATTTTAGCCTGCGGTTTGCTCGCCAGAACGACAAGGGTACTCCGGACGTACTGCGACAAACACAACGCAGCTCAAGGACGATTCAAAAAAAGCCAGCCCTGAAAGGCAGAGAAACTCGGCACATGCCTGGTTACTGTAGAGTTATGATTGGACTTCATGAACAGAGCTCGATTTGCTCTAGCCCAACGTTATTTTCTCGTCCGTCGGGCGAGAGGACAACTGGTCCTCAGATGGAATCAGTCAAATCGAAGCCATTTTTGTTCGATCGGAAGAAATTCGAGGCAACAGGAACCAGCAAAACCACGGCACATGAATCTACTTTGGAAAATGTTCAAAAACCTACGGAAATAGGAAATACGGAAATACCTATTTCAACGGAAAGCCACTGTAAGGACATTTCTGGAACCACAGCCGTTCGTTCTACGAAACCGTCAATTCGAAAGACAAGTGTTTTGAGTTCTAGGAAGTGCACTTATGCCTCAATGATGGACCTCGCTCTCAGAGCATGGCCAGTGGAAAAATATGCTCATCTGCATAATTCGAAATTACGAAAAACTTTGCAAAAATACGATGTCGTCTACTGGCCGTTAATTCCTGTAGGATATGTTCGCCGTGTATCCGCGCTTTTTGAGAGAGAAATCGCCAATGCCCTTGTCAAGTCTGCTTCGTTGACAACGCCAAGCTCCCATCGATAAGACCTAAGGTTTTAACAGAGCTCTGCAAACAATGCAAACTAAATTGTTTGGCTTCAGGCAGGTAGATGTCATTAGAAATTTTCAGATGTAGGATTGCAGATGAAAACAAATTACTTCTTAGTAAAATTGAAAATATTATTTCCAGTGGTTTTGCTACAATTTTTATTTCCTACTGTCGTCTGATGTGGTTGTATTGTTTAAATTGTCAAGTCATTGCTATTGCAAGAATCCTCAAAGTCCAACCACCCGTTCAGTCTCGAAAATGTCCTACACAAGAGAATGCACGGCAGAGCAGACCATAGCGAATATCATTCTATCAAATGCTACAGTTGCTTTGAAAATCTGTTATAAACCCTGAATCAGACAGATGACTAGATTATAATTAAGCTGTGTTTAGACAGATCACCCACTCAACGGGCTTATTTTTAATGAAAGACACCGCGGAGAATTTTTCATTGATAATAATCCCGGAATCTCACTGGTTATTACTGTGAATCTGGAAAAGCTGCAAAATGGGTTAAAGAATCTTTCACTGCTAAGTGTGAACGTATTTTG